TATACATTATATGCATCATATATATGCATTATGTATACACATGCACGCACATACTTGTCCTCATCTAACTCTGCTTGTGTTATTTCCATCTTCACAGCACTGACCCTGGAGTTGCAGGTTCCAGGCGACAGGCAAGTCACCTTGAGTCAGAATCAGACAAAGATGCAGCTGACCTGGGACCTGGCCCAGAAACCCGGTCACCCAGGTAATGGCCAACATGGTATCCATGGCACTGAGGCCTCCTGGTAGGAAAAGATGTCATATAAAAACAGAGTTAAGCCGGGAGACAGTGGCTCAAGCCTGTAATCCTAGCCACTCAGGAAGTGGAGATCTGATTCATTTGGCTCTGACAGGAAATACTGTAAGACTCTTATCTCCAAGTAACCACTGAAAAATGAGAAGTGGAGCTGTATCTCAAAATGGTAGGGCACTAGCCTTAAGCAAAAGAGCTGAGGGACAGAGCCCAGGCCCTGAGTTCAAGCCCCATGACCTACAAAAAGAGAGAGTTAAAAGCCAGGTGCAGTGGCTCATGCCTATAATCTCAGCCACTCAGAAGGCTGAGATCTGAAGAATATGATTCAAAGCCAGCCTGTGAAGGAAAGCCCAAGACTCTTATTTCCAATAACTAGCAAAAAGCCAGAAGTGGAGCTGTGGCTCAAGTGGTAGAGCGCTAGCCTTGAGCACGCGCACACACAATGCTCAGGGACAGCGCCCAGGCAATGAGTTTAAACCCCAGTACCAGCACACAAAATTTTAAGGGAGAATGGGAGAGGGGTGAGGCCACGAGAAGAAGGGTCCATCTGAGGAGCAGACACCCTGAGCTCATCCTTGCGCTTGGCCCACAGGCCCCTCCATGGTGGGCCTCATCTCCATTCCCAAGATGGGCAAGCTGCTGGCTGAGGCTCCGCTGGTCCTGGAGCCAGCCCAGGAGGCAACTGCTGAGACAAACTGGGGCCCACACCTGACACCAGCCCTGCTCTCCGATGTCATCACAGCCTTCCTGAGCCACCGGGACACGCAGAACCTCAGCTCCCCGGTGACCTTCACCTTCTCCCACCGGGTGAGCGCCGGTGGACGGGCGCCGGGCAGGGAAGAGCCTGAGTTCAGGACACACCCTGGTTGTGCTTCTTGGTTTTGGGGTCCCCCCACCCCAAGAGCCAGCCCTTCCCAGGCCAGCCTGGGCCTTCATCTCTGAGCCCGTGTCTCTCGCCCCTGTCCTGTCTCTGCAGGCGGCGAGCGCTGGGCCGCGGCGTGGGGTGCTCTGCGTGTCGTGGCTCGGTGGCCGGGGTGAGTGTGGACACTGGGTCACCACGGGCTGCGAGACGGTGGACACCGGAGACTCCAGCACCACCTGCAGCTGCTCCCACCTGAGCAGCTTTGCCGTGCTCATGGCCCACGATGGCAGACAGGTGAGACCATGCGCAGCCTGCGCTGTCACCGGCAGACCGGCACCCACGGAGCTGTGGAAGTGAACCGAATGTGCGGGAAGGAGCCGCGCACGCGCGCTGCTGGCTCACGCCTGTCATCCCAGATGCTCAGGAGGCTGAGATCTGAGGATCATGGTTCAAAGCCAGCCTGAGCAGGAAAGGCCTTGAAGTTCTTTTCTCCAATGAACCACCAAAAGGCAGACATGGAGCTGTAGCTCAAGGGCTAGAGCGCCAGCCTTGAGCACAAAAGCTCAGGGACAGTGCCCTGTCCCTGAGTTCAAGCCCAGGACTGGCAAAGAAAAAAGTAAAATCGAGGCTGGGTGCAGTGGCTCAAGCCTGTCATTCTGTTTCCCTGGGAGGAATCAGGTAGCCACGGTGGCAGTTCGAGGCCAGCCCAGGAAAGATGTTTATGAGGCTCCATCTCAACCAATGGTTGGGCGCAGTGGCACACACCTTGCCTGTTTTCCTGGCTACAGGGGAACCAAATTAGTGGGGCACAGACAGGGGCGTGTGCCTGTCATGCCCTGCGTCCCAGAGAAGCACAGATAGGATGATTGCCTAGCAGACCCAACCTTGAAAACAACCAATGCACCCATGTAACTTATGGGCAGGGACGGGAGGGGAAATTGGCTGGAAAGTAATGGAAGGGGTGACATCGTTCCAAAAAAGGAAATGCACTCATTACCTGGCTTCTAAAATGGTAGCCCCTCTGCACCTCTCATTCATAGTAACAATGAAATTATTTTTTAAAAAATTCTAACCAATGCAGAAATGAGCTGGGGACCTGGCTCATGCCAGGGGCGGGGCTCATGGCAGGGGCGTGGCTCATGGCAGGGGTGTGGCTCATGGCAGGGGCGGGGCTCATGGCAGGGGTGTGGCTCATGGCAGGGGCGTGGCTCGTGGCAGGGGCGGGGCTCATGGCAGGGG